TGCCTATTTTAACTTGTGTTTCTAAACTGTTTTTTACAGTACTGTTTTTGATAGATTGGACTGTTTTTTCCTTTTGTGTAAAGATGGATGCAAAAAACGAGTTAAGTAGTTCTGCTTTATCACCTTTTTGTACTTTCTTCCACTAATGGACCGATCACTTCCTTAACTTTTTTGTTTTTTACTTGTTGAAAGAAGCTTTTTGTTATTTTTTTACTTTTGTCGCAAGTCTTAGTTCATTTTGAGCCTTAGCTTTCCTTACTTTGGGCTATTTGCTGATATTCTGACTTAGTTATGTGCCCCTCTTTCCACTTTATTTACTTGTCCTTTTTGTCTTTCAATTTTAGAGAGTTCTTTATGCAGTCATGCTGGTTTCTTTTGAGAGCTGTTTTTTTCTTCTTCATTGGTATTGTGCCAGACGGGGCTTTTATAATTTCACTTTTCAAAATTTCCCAAGCTTCTTGAGTTGTTTTCCCTTTGAGGATTCTCATCCATGGAATCCTTCCCAAGCTCTCTAAGTTTATTGAAATTATCTCTCTAGTTTGACTGTGTTCCATTGCTTGTGCTTGCATAATGTTGAATTCTAATATTGCATGATCACTTCCCCCCCCCCCAAGGTTCCTGTGGCTTCAACACCTATCATTTCATCTCTGTTAGTGAGAATTAGGTCCAATATGGCTGATCCCCTAGTTCCCTTCTCTACGTTTGGGGAGACAAAGTTGTCTGCTAGGTTTGTCAGGAATCTGTTTGATCTTCCACTTGGTGCAGAGTTTGTTTCCCAGTTGATGTCAGGGTAATTAAAGTCCCCCATTACTATTGTGATGTGCTTCCTACATACTTTAGTTAACTGACTAGCAAAGAAAATTGTCTATTTCCTCTGTTTGGTTGGATGACCTATAGTACACATTTATGGCAATGTCATTTCCCCCCCTTTTATATTGACCCAAATGCATTCAAGACAGTTTTCATCATTGATGTGTTCTATTTCTGTAGAGATGTAGTTATTCCTTATATAGAGAGCAACTCCACCTCCTCTTTTATTTGGTCTGTTTCTTTTAAATAATTTAAATCCTTCTAGCTGTGTATTACATTTGTGAGTTTCATCCCACCAAGTTTTGTATCCCATCTAATGGCAAACCTTACTTTATTAGACAATGGACTAACTAATTAACCCATTACCACTTATTAGTCATGTTTTCAGAATGCCCTGTAGAGTGTATACAATGCCATAAACTACTATTTACAATATCTCTTGATACTAACTGCACCTTTTAGGCTGCATCTACACAATACAGACCTGAAACAATCTGATTTAAGGGAAGTGACAGAGAAAATATCTTCTAAAACCATCTCAGTTTAAACAGGACTACTGTAGTAAGTAAAGGTGTGGTGGGGAAATTGAATGAATATTTGCTGTTTTTTTGTTATTTCAGTTTTCAAAGTTGTCAAGAGTTTCTTTGGAAATTCCACTTTTTTCCCATTACTGGTCTTGATAATTCCAGGGAAACTAAAGTGAAGAACAGAATATCTTCTTGGATGAACTATGGGAATTCCCAAAAAGGAACCATGGAGTTGGTTTGTTTGGGCTTTTCTTCTAGCCATTGAGACAGATTTTAATTAAAATAATTAGTAGAAAGGGAAAGTGAGAGAAAATCTGTAATAGAAAAGGTATTATGAAATACTCATATAAAGTTCAAAAAAGCTGTGAGTCATTAGACAGTTGGGCAATATGTTGAAGGGGCTGGCCAGACAAGCAGTTTTGGGGAACCTGTCCTTATTCCCACCACCCACTCTGACACAAAACCTAGGAAGTCTATTTGTCTCCTGCTGCCAATTGCTCGGGGGCTGCGTTGCTCAAAAATCAGGACCCCCTGCCAATTTAAGATTGAGGAAGGCTAAAAGGACACTGATTAATTGTTGGACTTGAAAAGGGAGACCTTGGTGATCAAGGTCAGTCCTTGGAACAGTTGTTCTCTTTCAGTCCATCCTATTTCATAGAGAAGGGGGAAAAGTCCCTTGAACTCCTAGAGGAAAGATAGATGTAATTAATGTAATAAATAGATAGAAGATATTGTGAAACATGAGTGATTGACCTGCCTAATGCATTGGTCAGGGAAAGAACAGCAAATGGGAGATTTCTGCTGTTTCCTCCAAATTACCTGCAGATTGTTCAGAGACTGCAGAAGAAGCAAAAACCACCTTGCCATAAGACAGAGAGAAAATCTAATTACCAATTACCCAAAATGATTTAAGCAAACTTCTTCCCATCATCGAAGATTATTAAAGAAGTAAAATTCAGAATAAGAAAATATACCAGAAGTTCTCCCTCTCTTTTTCTGTATGCATGTTTACAGAAATTAACCACTTCTAACTTTTCACACAATAAACACATTTATGATATATTTGGAATTCTAAATGCCTACTAGAAGGTTTCTCACAAATGGCTGCTTTGGTTAATATAGCAAGTGACAAAGCACTTATTTATAAAAAGTCTGCCTACTACTTCTTCTAGTTTCCCAAAATTGTCACAATTTCCAGCTTGCCTTTGTTTTGGGCCATATGGGGGATAAAGTCAAACCTGTGGGCTACAGCCACCTACCATTCTTATCTTCAAATAACATCAGTGAACCCCATCTATATGGGATTCAAAGGTAATTTTGAAAATAAAGACGATGCTTTATTTCTTAACTTGATAGCTTCTTAATTAACATTTTCTGAGTTAAAAGAATGAAAAAAAAGCAATTAGATCGGTAAAAAATCCTATAGATTTCTGAAAGAGGTGCCTACACTGCATAATGTACCACATTATGGTTGCATACCTGAGTCTGAAGACTATGGAGGGTTATGAAAAATTAGAATGCTGATGTAAGAAGAAATGTGTTGTGTATTTGTACTTGTTGGAACAACAAAACCCCATTATTTAGCACAAATTGATTGTAAATTTAAAATTTTGCTCTTTTCATGTGACATACGAATCCTATTACAACTCTACTTTATGGCAGTCACTTGGCTGGAAGGACAAATGAGACCAGAAATAGATTCAAAGTCATTGGTGGGATTTCCACATCCGCTGAGGCAGTGAATCTCTGTTCTTGATCTATTCTGTCAATAATGAGTTGGGAAGCCCCCTTTCAGCAACAATCAGCTGATACATCACCTTGTAACCAAGTCGTTTTTAATTTTCTTCATTTTACCCAAGTGTCATTTGAATTTTCAAGTCAGTGTGCATTTTAATTAGAGTAGAGCAGGGGTCCTCAACCTTGGCAGCTTTAAGACTTGTGGACTTCAACTCCCAGAATTCTGGGAGTTGAAGTCCACAAGTCTTAAAGTTGCCAAGGTTGAGGACTCCTGGAGTAGAGCAAAGGCTTGAGGTCTACTGTATTCCTGGCAAAATGTATAAAAAGGAGGGGTGGAAATGGACGATCCGAGTAATTCTGGCAAAGTTTCACAAAAGATGTTAAACCTCTAATTAATTTCATGTTTCAAGCAAGAATTAATGTGGCCTGCAATTTAAGCCGAAAGGGTCTTGCCAAGAAGTGCATTTTGTCATACCTTCCCCTCCAGGAAAAGCTCTTTACAACCTTTATGGCAAGATGTCTTGCCAACTATATGAGTAGCTTTGAAGCAACATTCACAGACCATTTGCTTTGATGACATTTGAAGTTCTCTTCTCTCCCTTCCCAGCCACGCAGCCTTCATTTTTTCCCCTTCCATTCCAAAGTCTCCTATAGCTATGATGTCCAGGCTGCAAAATCATTGGAAAACTAATCAATACCATAAGATCTGTCAGTTTTCAGTGAAAAGAAGATCACATCTTTTAACTCTTGACTTAGTGTACATATTTTTAAGTTAAACCTTATGAAGGGAGCTGAATGAATGATGCTTGCCTATATCCACAGGCACACAAGTGTGACAAAGCTTTCCTTCTGTGCATTAACTTCAAAAGCTCCTGACAATCTGTGTTGGTTAGCCTTCCATAAAACTAAAATTATACGGCCATCATCCATAATCTATTGATTGATTGCATCTGTCAGAATGTCACAAATAATGAATGTGTACCACAGTTATTCTGTGAAATTCATGATACATACTGTACAAAAAATAAAGACTACATGTTCATTTAAATTATAGTAAAATCTTATAGATACCAGTCAATCAGCATCAACTTTCAGAACCTTCCCCATTGGATCCATACTGCTGTTGCCCTATTAGGCTCAAATGATTGATTTAGCAGTCAATCCTCATTTAGGATATTATCTGGGCACTATATCAAAAAGAAGGTTTAGATGAAATGAGCTCAACACTACGTCTAGATCTGTTGATCAGGAAACTGAGAAGAGGCAAAAAACAAACAAACAGATATTTCATATTGGATCAGTCCTCATCACCAAATGTATGTTAGTTTTATTACTGATGCAACTTGATCAAGTTTTTTCCTTGTCCTTCAGTCTATCGCTGTCTTGCTCAAAAATGAGCATATCATTGCTTTGCAGGATCAGCAAACACTACAGTTTGGTAACTGATAAAACAATTTCCTCATGCCTGATTTTCTTGGAAGATTCCTCCAATGCCAGATAAAGTAAAGGAATAATTTACTTCTATGAGTCAAATCTGTCTCACAGGAAATTAAGCAATTACTGACAAGTTTAATGGAAAATCCATTGCTGTTTCAGATTGACCAACCTCCAACTATCAAATATACAATACGTATGATGGGATATTATATTACTTCTTAGAACAATGAACTTTATTCTAAGAAAGACCTTTTTACAACTCTCAACATCTAACAATATGCTGGAAGTACATCAAGTGTGTGCATGCATAGGGACACACTTACGAATAGCACTAAATTTCGATCTGTTAAATATTCTGTTTCACATCTATCAACTCAGGAATCCTTATAAAATTCCCTTGGAAGTTAAGGTGCGGCTGATATACACTGCCTTTCATAACAACAATTAATCACATTAATTTATTATTTTTGTCTCTAACTTGGCTCTTACCTCATAAGTCTGTGAATGTGTAGGAAGAGGGAAAATCTGAAGAAAAAGGTGATAAAAAACAACATTCTTTTTCTATTGGGGCATGTTTTCTGCATTTGTTCAATCCACCAGATGCCAGTAATCAAGGAGTAGCTTAAGTATGGTTCAGCAGAGGAATTACGTGACTCAATCAGAAGTTGTTGCTATCAAATCAGCCCTGCCTCATAATGATTGCAGGAACAAGTCCACACAATTTTCTTGGCAACATATTCAGAAATGGTTTGCCAGTACCTTTTTCCTAGGGCTGAGGGTATGACTGTCCCAAAGTTCTCCAGCTGGCTTTCATGCCTAAGGCAAGACTAGAACTCTTGACTTTAATTCGTTGCCTTTAAATACTTTACCAAATGAGCTCTCTCAATTAGATGAAAGGAACTGAAATACTATGTACATGTATATGTATGTGTCTGGTGTGTGTGTGTCTAATTTGTAAATGTAATAATCATTTTACTTTTAGCAGCTATTTTGGATTTTTACATTTCTATTTTTTTCTTCATAATAGTGCTACACAGTATGGGTCTGTTTCAGTAAACTAATTATTTTTAAATTATTATTTATTGCATTTATATAGAACTTATCCTATGGAAGCTCAAGATGGCAGGTCTGTGGACTTCCCTAATTCTCTCCTTAGGATAGCAATCTATGATGTAGCCTGATTGCCACAAAGTCATCCTGTTGACTTCATAAATTTGCATCTTCCAAATCTACAATAGGTTTTAAAGCAGAAGTTTGCAGAGGTTTTTATTGTTTAAAATCAATTTCTATAGACTACAGAGAAATCAATGTAAAACAAGGTCAGCATAGCTAGAACCAAGCCCATATTTATTTATATATGTACCAGTATTTGAAAATTTGGAAATACTATTGTAATACTAATAGAATCTAATATATCTGACCATAACAGAACAGCCTGTGATCTAGGTGACTTGATCAGAAAATATTTCATGAGTTATACTATATTGTGTTTTTCTTCAGTCTCCAATCTGGATGATTAGCATTTTCAAATCTCTGCTCATCCCACATTTTTAAACTTTTGTTTTAGGTTAGATCTGACTTGGAATTAGCACCCTGTTAAATACAGTCAGAAGCAGCAATGGGGTTCTCCAAATGTTGGGAGTTACAACTCTCTAAACTCCTTTCAATTCATTATGCTAACGAGCATTTACTATAGATCACTACTTTTTTGGGAGTAGCAGGTGGCCTCTTCCTACAATAGAAGTGCTTTTGAACAAGAGCCCTTCATACAGAGGGCTATCATATCCGAAAGAGAATACCTGGCCATTTTATGGCACAACGAGGTTGACACAACAAAATGTCTGTGGCAGTAGAGCTTAGACTGCGTTTACATTATTTTTGTTCTTATATAAATAAGTCCCCCTCTCTGCTTTGTATGTAAGTAGAAAAGTCACACAGGCAAGCAAACAGAGCTGTTCCCACTCAGTTCAGCTCTGCATTTGTTCTGCAAATATCTCAAGCTTGTGAGAGCAAAAACGTATGTAGCTGATCTGTCACCAGTTGTTTGACCCTAAATATCACAGAGATGAGAATGTGGCCTTGCCAATTCCATCTGATTGTAACGTTTCTCTCCTTTAATCAATGTTAAAATCTTTAGGGTGGATTTCTCATTTGTGAGACTTTGTATAATGTGTCTCGACCATATACCCCATCTAATTTAATAAGGCACAAGCTAAGGAAGTACTTAAGTTACTTATCAAGGGTTTTGGATGACACATTATTATTGTACTCAAAAGTCAATATTTGCTAATCATGTTAGTACAGGAACTCTTCCAGGTCTACAATTCTCAGAGTGCAAAGACATTTAAGATTAATTAAACCTATTTCTTTTCTCATTCCCCTGTGCAAAAAACTCCTCACTTTCCCCCTGCCTCTCCATTGGAATGGACAAATCAATGTCACCGTCACGGAATCCTCCATAGCTGACAGCTTCATACTGAAGAGCTATTGAAGTTCTGAACTCTTATTTTAATAGACAGTGCTCTAGTCACTTAATGCTGGCATATTGGAAATGCCAGACGATTTGCCATTGCCATTAAAGCTAATGAAAAAATCACCCTGTCTCAGATTCCCTTCTATTGCATCTCACTTCAGAATCAGTCTGGCAATAAGTTGCCATTGGGGTGGGGTTACAATTTAATTTTGACTGCCTGTGGTTATTTAGAGTAGAATAATAATATAATACAATAATAATAGAGTTGGAAGGGACCTTGGAGATCATCTAGTCCAACCATCTTCTCAGGCAGGAAAGCCTATACCATTTCAGACAAATGGCTGTCCAGTCTCTTCTTAAAAAGTTCCAATGTTGGAGCATCCACAATTTCTGGAGGCAGGTTGTTCCTCTGATTAATTGTTCTAACTATCAGAACATTTCTTCTTAGTTCTAGGTTTATTCTCTCCTTGATTAGTTTCCATCAGTTGCTTCTTGTCCTGCCTTCAGGTGCTTTGGAGAATAGCTTGACCCCCTCTTCTTTGTGGCAGCCCCTGAGATATTGGAACACTGCTACCAGGTCACCCCTAGTCCTTCTTTTCATTAGACTAGACATTTCCCTGGTTTAAAAATGGTTGGCAACTACCTTTTCAGCTGGAGAGGAGGCTGACAATTTCATGATTTATTTATTTTATACAATGTCAGAGGGACAGTTGAGCTTTTTGATATATGTCTCTTTTTAATGACTCCAAGCTGTTGATAAATTTGGTGCTCATAAAGCAAAAGATGAATTGCGTTTCCAAAAGCCATGCGCAGAGTTGGTCACCTTCTTCTTCCCTCCTTCCTCCTCCATGTAGGCTGTCAGCATGCTCCAGCCAGGATTTTCAACATTTCTGCGTTTTGGTGTCCTGAGAGTCCTGAGAGCAGATTCAAAGGGTATCAAGGCCGTGGAAAATTTGGTACAAAATCCATGCTCATGCCTGGAGGTTAAATAAAAATTAATTTGAGATGTTCCATTTTATTTTAGGATAAACTGAATTTGGAGATGGGTATTTCTCCTCCCCCCCCCCTTGTTTGCAGGACTGAGCTTTTCTCTTTCTCCTCTCCTTGCATTCTTCAGTGAACAGTACAAACCGAAATTGGTGAATACAGCAAAAAAAAAAAAAAAACATCTATTTTTGTACCATTACACTTAAGGAATTAGTTCAAATCTTACTAACAATAAAAGCTATACAGCTATTTTTTGTGTGAAGCTTGTGGTAAAAATAACAAGGTGCAGTATCAAATCCCAGAGAAATATAAAACCAGATAGACATCATTGGGAACTGGTGAAAAAATGTACAATTCAAGAGAAGCCGAGAGTTCTTGTTAAAAGCTCTTGTGCATATGCTCTGCTATTGTTTCTAAGCCTTGATTGCTGTGGGCAGATGGACTGTCACTAATGTTTTGCCTTACAGCCATGCCTGATAAAAATCTGTGATAGGATAAAAGAAGGTGAATGACTCAGAATGGCCAAGGGATAACTAAGGGCTGGAGGATAACTTGAAATCTTGTCTGGAATGTAGGGAATAGGAGAAATGACAAAGCTGGACAGACACACTTGGTTTCCCTTGATTAAAGGGACATTTGAATGCTAGCCTGACTTGACTTGTGACTTTGAATTGACTCTGTCTTTCTCACTTTTAATTTAGCTTTACCTTTTCCTTTGTTGATTATTATAACTCAGGTTGTTATAGCAGCTAAACTAAAAGGACTGCATAGAGAGTATCCGTATGTGCATTTTCTGATGAAAATTCACATTTGGGGCTATGTTGGCATAAATAATTATGGATAAGTATTTAATATATATAAATTGAAGTGCCTATTTTGATCACATTCATAGGTATATTTTTTTTAAAAAAAACTGGAAAGTTGAAATGTTTTGAAGGAGACAATAATTCAGTGTGAAGGTTAAAAACCTAAATGTCCAGGCATCACTGAAATCTATATTTCTGATTTGGATATATACTTGCTGAGAGTTCATAATGCCCTAGGATAGGGAGCCTAGTTCCATACAGTTAGTTTGGATTCCAATTCCCATAACTCCTTGCCTTTGCTCATACTGGTTGGAGTCCAAAACCTCTGCAGACTGCAGGGGATCAGACTGCATATCTTTGGTAATGCTCATCTCCTATACCAGGCAAATATTCCAGCCAGAGGAAAATTTAAGGCTCCCACTTTTTGCCCAAAGCTTTCTACCCCCTTCCTTTCTTGACTTCTTAAGCAGCAGATGAATGTTGTGCCCTTCCATTTCGATTCCTAGGGTCACATCAAGTATGGTACAATTTACAGTCTGCCTGCTTCACCCACAACTATCTGCCACACCTTAGAGAGCAGAGGAGGCAGGCTGACCTCTCATCCTTCTGAGCTTTATTGGCATTGCTATTTCTCAAAGATAAAGTGAGGTCTGCCTGGATGATAGGAAGATCTCCAGAAGGGAGAGGGGGATTGGAAGCTCCTGGATGGAGAAAAATATTGGACACTGTTATGATTCCAGGCAACAAGGCGCAACTCTTTATCTCCGAGTTAGCACAATTAATTATAAGCTAAAAGAATTTTTTTACAAAATCATGTATCACTGGTATTTAACACTAGGTAAGTTACCTAGAATGCATAAAAGTATTTCAAATGAATTTTGAAAATGTAAATGTAAAGAAGGGATCTTTTATCATTTACGGTGGACATGTGATAAGGAAAAGAAATATTGGAGTAGGATTCATATATTAATGGAGAAAATTCTTAAAGTGAACATAAAGATTAAACCAGAAACTTTCCTTCTGGGCCTAATGGAAAGAGAACTGGGGAAAAAAATGGAACTCTCATATGGCAACGGCAGCAAGACTGCTCTATGCACAAAAGTGGAAGGATGCCTCGATTCCCACCATGGACAAACGGTTACAAAAGCTGATGGAATGAGCAGAGAGGGCCAAATTGACTGTGCTGATAAAAGAAAAGAACATAAGTACTTTTGTTTCTACTTGGAAACTGCTTCTGGACTTAGTGCTTGAGGTGGAAAAAAATGATATTATGATTTTGCGTTTTACCAATTAGACTGATTTGCCGATATACAAATGGCTAATGCATACTATTATAGAAATGTAAAT